ATCCTGTATCTGGAAAACCCCATAGTCTCAGCCCAAAAGCTTCTTAAGCTGATAAACAACTTCAGCAAAGTCTTGAGATACAAAATCAATGTTCAAAAATCACTAGTATTCCTATACATGAACAACAGTCAAGCTGAGAACCAAATCAGGAATGAAATTCCATTCACAATTGCCACAAAAAGAATCAAATACCTAGGAATAAAGCTAAATAGGGAAGTGAAAGATTTCTATAAGGAGAAGTACAAACCACTGCTCAAAGAAACCAGAGATGTCACAAACAAATGGAAAAATATTCCACGCTCATGGATAGGAAGAATCAATATCGTTAAAAGCGCCATACTGCCCAACACAATTTATAGACACAGTGCTATTTCCATCAAACTACCATTGACATTCTTCACAGAACTAGAGAAAACTATTTTAAAATTCATATAGAATTAAAAAAAAAAAGAGCCTGAATAGTCAAGGCAATCCTAAGCAAAACTAATAAAGGTGAAGGCATCACACTCCCTGAATTCAAACTATATTGCAGGGCTACAGTAACCAAAACAGTTTGGTACTGATACAAAAATAGACACATAGGCTAATGAAACAGAATGGAGAACCCAGAAATAAGACCACACACCTGCAACTATCTGATCTTTGACAAACCTGGCAAAAACAAGCAATGGAAAATGAATTCTCTATTCAATAAATGGTGTTGGGATAACTGACTAGCCATATGCAGTGGATTGAAACTGAACTGTTTCCATACACCATATACAAAAATTAACTCAAGATGGCTAAAAGACTTAAATGTAAAATCCAAAACTATAAAATCCCTGGTAGACAACCTAGGCAATACCATTCAAGGCATAGGCATGGGAAAAGATTTCATGATGAAAATGCCAAAAGAAATTGCAACAAAAGCAAAAATTGACAAATTAGATCTAATTAAACCAAAGATCTTCTGCACGCAAAAGAAACTATCAACAGAGTAAACACACAACCTACAGAATAGGAGAAAATTTCTTCAAATAATGCATCTCACAAAGGTCTAATATCCATCATTTATAAGGAACTTAGACAAATTTACAAGAGGAAAACAACCTATTAAAAAGTGAGCAAAGACATGAACAGTTTTCAAAAGAAAACATACGTGCAGCCAATAATCATATTTTAAAAACTCAACATCACTAATTATTAGAGAAATGCAAGTAAAAACCACAATGAGATACCATCTCACACCAGTTAGAATGACTGTTACTAAAGAGTCAAAAAATAACAGATATTGGTGAGGTTATAGAGAAAAGGGAATGCTTACACACTGTTGGAGGGGGTGTAAATTAGTTCAGCCATTGTGGAAGACAGTGTGGCAATTCCTCAAAAAGACCTAAAGACAGAAATACCATTTAACCCAGCAATCCCATTACTGGGTGTATACCTAAAGGAATATAAATTATTCTGTTATGAAGACCTATGCATGTATATGTTCATTGCAGCACTATTCACAATAACAAAGACATGGAATCAACCTAAATGCCCATCACTGATAGTCTGGATAAAGGAAATGTAGTACATATACACCATGGAATACTATGCAACCATAAAAAGAATGAGATCACATCCTTTGCCAGGACATGGATGGAGGTGGAAGTCATTATCCTTAGCAAACTAACACAGAAACAGAAGACCAAATACTGCATGTTTTCATGTATAAGTAGGAGCTAAATATTAAGTACACATGGACACAAAGAAGAGAACAATAGACACTGGGGCCTTTCAGAGGCAGAAGGGTAGGAGGAGGGAGAGGATCAGGAAAAATAACTAATGATTACTAGGCTTAATACCTGGGTGATGAAATAATCTGTGCAGCAAACCCCCATGATTGAAGTTTACCTGTGTAACAAACCTGCACTTGTACCCCTGAACTTAAAATAAAAGTTAAAAAATAAAATGAAATAGTGATCTTTCATAATATTGTGAGATTTCTGCAACAGTTTTTTATGACATAAATATATTTGTGATGACATTATCACAAGTACTGATAATACTGATTACATTCGTAATTGAAAGAAATGTTACATGTCAATTAGATATTAGTAAAAAATAAATGTGTAATTTTTTTCACCTAGTTCCCAGACCTCCTGGATTCTATTCATAGACCTCTTGAGAGTATATGATATACAGATGAAGAACCCAACTTGTGCTCCACTATTCCTCCTGCTCACATTTATGTTTTGGAAATACTTCTTGCTCTTATGTGGAGAGTGAAGATGGGAAACCATGAGGAGAAAGGTAGAGAGGCCAACTCGCAGTTCGTTGCAATAGTATTGACTAAGCAGTGCTCTATGTACTACCCTATAATAGTATACTGTGAGGTGGTACTACTGTGCAGTAGAGACTGCCTTATCTAGGGAGATGGCAGCAGAGATGAAGAGACATAAATGAAGTCAATATATATTATTAAAATAGGAGGACTATTTAGTGGATTGTATAGGGTAGTAGATGAGAAAAAAGGAATCAAAATTGTGAATATATTAATAGCTAATTATTTATTTGACTACATCCATTTTCCCTCTCCTTCTACTCTCCAGTTTATTCTCTTTGTACCTCTGACTCATCTTCCTTCTTTGAAGACAAGAGCTCTCGAGTGAGTCACCTAAAGTGCAGTCTGAGGAGTCAAGGGTACTGCAAATGTGAGAGCCATATTCAGATACTGGCATGTGTAACATGTCGAAGAATGGCTAATCTGACATGCTGTATTTATGCAGAAATGTTAACTAGGATCCATGAGTAAGGCTTTGAGGGCACAGTCACAGTTCAGGGCTTAACTGTTTCCCCAGAATGTGTTCTAATACCATAAATTCTCTAGTAGAGATTAGGTATTTATTCTCCAGCTTTAGGGCTTCACTAGTCAGATGAAATGTCTTACTTCATGCTTTAATTTTATGGTTCTATTTTTAACAATTTCCTGAACAGTACATTCTACCATGTCTCAAAATAAGCAATTTCTTATATTTTTATAAATCTGGACAAAGTCTGTCTTGTACATTAATGTGTTTTTTAAAAATTCAATAGATAACTATTAAGTCATTTATTTCTCAGTTGATATATATAAGAACTTAAAGCATTTCCATGACTATTTTTTGAATGGGTAAAAGATGAGGGACAAAATACTGCAGGTTTTTTTAACCATGTTTATTTTATTTAAAATCATTGTTGTAGAAAAAAACAAGACATTGACCTATAAAACATAGTGTATTTATTATTTTTCCCTTTTATGCAATCTTGGAATATACTTCAATTCAAAATAAGAAACCCTAAAAGTATAATACTTCTTTGGAAACATATACAAAGGCCAATGCATACAAAGGACAATGCTAACTACAGAAGTGCATCAAAGACTAACGATAATTGATAAAAATCCAGTATTTTAACAATAATTAATACTAGGTAAATTGATACATCCTATTACAGTATGAAATTCTGCCATTGAATTTCAAGTAAGAACCCTTATTTCCATTCCAGTACCTGCTATTTTACGCATGTTTAAAGCAACAGCAACAATAACAATAATATTATTAGTTAGTATTTATTAAAGCATTAATGAACACCAAGCATCGTTAAATATATTACATATATTTTTGCTTAATTTTCACATTACTAATGGTTAAATATTACTACCACATTTTGTAGGTAAAAAAACTGAGGCTTAGAAACATTGAAAAAAACTTGCTCAACGTTGCAAAACAAGAAATCTGTGACCCTGGAATTGATACCTACAACACATTGATCTAACTAATTGCTGGATACATGTCCCTCAACGACAAGAGAAACAGATCTTGTATTTTAGTGGATCTCCAGCATCCAGCAAGGACCTGAAACAGAGTAGATGTTCAACAAATACTTATTGAACTAAAGATTGACATTTCAGGAGCAGAGATTTATATTCAAAAACAAAGATGAGAATTTGGGCAGGAAGGTGGGAATGAGGCAAAAGTACATTTCCATTTTAACCTTTTTTTTTTTTTCATATGCCTAACTGACTCAAGGCAAGAAGGAAGAGTTCATGATTTGGTTAAAATGAACTGGTGTTTCAAATTTAAAATGTGGTTTTATATCTAGCTCTAACACTACGTTTCTTCATAAGCTTCTGCACATTATTTAATGTTAAATATTTGGCTTGGAGATTGTGTTGAAGCATGTTTTACAATTATCTTGGACTTTTAAGTGGCAAAACTGTTAATGCCATTTCTTTCTTTGCAAGGCAAAGTCTTGTGTTTTGCTCATGCTACTCACTGTTCAAATCTACGATAACTGATTGCTTCCAGAACTCTTTTTATATATGTCAGTTATTTTAAGTAGACACATTTTTATCCGTATATCAAGATACCATGCAATCTAACCTAGTTTTGTCACCCCACCCAACCATACTACTAATGAAAAACTGGAAAATGTTCTATTAGTTTTTCCGTCATATGTCTTTAACAAGCTGCAGTCTTAAAGACATCCTAAAACTAGAATATCTAATTTAACCTGCTAGTGACTTTTTTTGAAAGAAGTTATTCTTCAAAGGCATACTACTTTAATATAAGATGTATTTTGTGTAGAAGTCATAGGGAAATAGAAATGACATTTTTAGATTCCATTCTGTATACTTCCCATAAAAAAAGTTATGATAAATATTTAATTTACCTTTTACAGTCTTTTTAGAGATGAAAAAGGGACAGAAGTAAAGTGAATCCCCAAGGATAATACAACTAGGAAATGACAGAATCAAGATTTAATTCCAGGGTCCATGTGTGTCTAGAGAAATGTCTTTGCCCCTTACAGTGATTCAGCCTTCAACCAGTTCTGTGAATTCTCTGGACCTTCAGTACTTCAGCTGTTAGAAAATTGGACTGGCTGACTGATTTCAAAGACTCTCTTGTCATAAAAAAAAATCGATTTAACATGATCAATAATATACCAAATTAGGGAGAATCATGCTATATATTTCTTAAATTCTTTTTTCCTTTCTTTCCACAGGTTATATTATGTTGAAAATTAGACACAAAGCTTCTTCTAAGACTAATAATATGCTGCAAAATTTTATTTTGGAAATGAAAAAGTTATCATTAATTTAATAGCTAATATTTTCCCCAAACATTGTAAATAAATTCATCATATCTATAATTTTCAGCCAGGTTTTGAAAACCAGTCAGATTTGGGTAGTTTGCTATGATTTAAACTTTACAAATTATTATTTGATTATTTGCTATATTAATTATGAAGTGTGATAGTGATACAAACACCTGTTAAGAAACTGTATTGCTAAATTTCTGATTCTTCGAACTGTTCTCTTATTTTCAAAGTTGACACAGAACTCAAATAACTGAACCCCTTAAATCGAGATTGTTGAACATTACCTAAAAGAATCTCTTCACAGTATAAATTTTCCCATAAAACTATTCCCAGTGTTATTTTTTTAAAAAAACCTGTTTTGTCCTACACTGCTAATTATAGTTCTAAATTAATCTAAACACCATCAGAGTACCACAAGGCTGTGCAGAATATGAATGTTCTGGATTAGAAAACAGGAGAATCATATTTTATCTCATGCTTCTCTAAGTTGTCTTAATCTGAGGTATGTTTGTAGGATCCAGAGGTCTATGAAGTCCTGAATTTATATTCACAAAATTTTGATGATATGTTCATTTTTCTACGAAGATAACCTTTACATTTCACCAGATTATCAAGTAGACCTATAACTCAAAAGCCTTGTAAACACTGCGCTAACTTTTCATCAAGATGTCACACATTTCTTATCCCTGACTTCTTTTCATAAATTTAAACTAAATAATTTGAAAGGTAAATTCTAACTTTAATTTTTTGATTGCTCCAAGAACATAACTGTTAATATATCTCACAAAGGAGATCTCTATTCACTGTACGTAGTATCATGGAACAGTTTTCCCAAGACTGAAATATTGGGTATTCAGTTTCTTCTTCATCGCTGTCTTCACTTCCTGGTTTCTCAAAGTATAGATAAGTGGATTCAGAAAGGGAGTGAAGATGGTATAGAAAACAGAGAGAATTTTGTCTACCAGGAAGTTTGTGGAAGGCCACACATAAATGAAAATACAGGGCCCAAAGAACATTAACACAACAATAAAATGTGCTGTACAAGTAGAAAGAGCTTTGGCGGATCCTGTGGACGAGTAGTCCCTGACAGTAATAAGAACAATGATGTAGGAGGTGAGCAAAAGCAGAAAACTTATAAGAGCAATCACACCACTGGTTGAAATCATGAAGATCCCAAGAACATAAATATCTATACAAGCTAGCTGGATGACCAAAGGAAGATCACAGAAAAAACTGTCTACAACGTTGGGACCACAGAAGGGCAAATAGAGGGTAAAAGCTAATTGGCTCATTGTATGCAGAAAGCCCACTGTCCAAGAAACTAGCACAAGCTCAACACACACTCTTCGGCTCATAATTGTCGAATAATGGAGAGGTTTACATATGGCAATATACCTGTCAAAAGACATGGAGATCAGCAGCACAATCTCAGTCCCGGTGAAGAGGTGCAAAAAAAAGATCTGAGAAATGCAGCCTTCGAAAGAGATGGTCTTACGCTGAGCAAAAAAGTCCATAATCATCTTTGGTGTGGCAAAGGAGGACAGGCACATGTCAATGAGAGACAGGTTGCTGAGCAGGAAGTACATGGGAGAGTGAAGGTGTGAGGTGGATAGGACAGTGAGCAAAATCAGGCAGTTGCCCAACGTGGTCATTAAATAGAAGACAGAAAACACAAAGAAGAGTATCTGGAGTTCAGGTGAATCAGTAAGTCCAAGTAACACGAATTCAGATACTCTGGAATAGTTGAACCCCTCCATTCATCTGCAGACTCGGCTGCAGACAAAATTACAGAGTTTGAAAATGTGATATTTCTACAACCACATATTAACTTATCATTCGCTAAAAGATTGATTACCTAGAATCCAACTAAAAATCCTCAGGGTGAAGATATTTGGGGGGAACCACTTAACAATTGCTACCAGATATAATCTGAAAAGTTTAACCCCTTGGTTTTGACCAGCATCAGTACACATTGAGTTGTAGTCATCACATGCCCACAAAATTATATACCTATCTGAATACAACTTAACGAATTACATAATACACATTTACTGAGGCAGATTACATTACATTTGTGTGCTTTACTGAATAAGGCATATAAATAAAACTAAAAATAAAATGAGTGTTGAATTCTTAAAGGTTTCTCTTGCACACAAAAATGTGAATATTTTGAATCAACTATTGTTAAACAGTAGACTTAACTAAGACTTTACTATAATGATTTCAGAAGATCCATTTAATATCTTATGAGGGTGATAAATTATTTAATTTTTAATTACTTAATTCCATAAGACAACTGATAATCAAAAGGCATACTTGTAACCTGCAAGAGTTATTCTCCACTTTGGGTAATTTATTATTTCATAAAAACATGTTTTAAAAAGAGAATCTCCTTCCTTTAATTCTCTTCATTCTACCCAAAGCTATATTTTAAACTACAAAAACAAACAAAACAGATACATTAAGAACTCAGAATTTTTTCAGAATTAATGTTTTCATTTACAGTGCTTCCCAAGTTCTAGAAATTTTATTTCCTATGGAATATCAATGTCTTTACCAAAGAGTCAAATGTGTGGTACAAAGCAAATGAAACTTAGTCCTAGTAAATGAAAGCTAATTTTGTGACCAGGTAGGGTTTACTTTGCCAACCACCTAATGAAATTTAAGCCTTTGACTACAGAAATTTTAGCTGGGTAACTGTAAAGTTGTCTAGGTTACTGGAAAATTTGATAAGACTGAAATTAATTATGTAAAAAAATATAGTGTTAGATCAGGCATTTATAAGTCTATATGCATCTAAACCATTTTTCTTTAAATTGCTTTTTCCACATGTAAAACTATATGAATTCCCTTGTTATATTACATATTTGAATATTTCACTTTACACATTTGAATATTTATCTAGTTTTGATCATAATTTAATGATAATAGATAATGCAGTTTTATCTAATCCTGTATTATAACTTATCCATCTTTGAAAATGCAATATTTCATTCCTTCTTCAATAAAAGTTTTCAAGGTACACTAAAAAAGATTTCATTATGTCAGTGAAACATGGTGGACCAATGTCAAAAATTTAAAATATCAACATACTAATATTTAAGTTATAGTCAATATTAATATGCTTAGAAAAGAATAAAATCATTGTTATGAATTTGAAGAATGAACAAATGGAAAAAGAGTCAATCAATGGGCCGGGCACAGTGGCTCATGCCTGTAATGCTAGCACTTTGGGAGGCTGAGGCAGGCGGATGGGTGGCTTGAGCTCAGGAGTTTGAGACCAGCCTGGCCACCATGGCGAAACCCTGTCTCTACTGAAAATACAAAACTTTGCCAAGCATAGTGGCACACACCTGTAATCCCAGCTTCTCGGGTGGTTAAGGCAGGAGAATACTTTGAACCTGGGAGGTGGAGGCAGAGGCTCCAGTGAGCCCAGAACATGCCACTGCACTCCAGCCTGAGCACTAAGTGAGAATCTGTCTCAAAAAAAAAAAAAAAGAAGAACTATTTGACTTTTATTTTCTTCAATCTCTTCCATTAATTTATTCCCAATGATCCTTCCAAAAATTCTTGAAAATAAATAATAAAAAAGAAAATCTTGTATTATGGAAGCCTGAGACTACTGACTTGAAATTTTAGATTGTAGATCAATACACATATAGATTTAACTGTCTGACAGTGCCAATGTATCAATTCAGTGAAAAAATAAGTTTTATGATTATGTGCCACCTTTTTTCTGAATTAACTGATTGGCTGATTACATTTGCAGATATTATCTGGTTGTTTTCAGTTAAAAGTAATGGCATAGTTTCTAGTCTAAAGAAAAAGTCTTACCTGATTTGTAGTAAAAACTGAAACAAATGTTCCAAAACAATTTTGGCTTCTTTTTTGGATAACTATCAGAAATTTTACATTGACTACATATTCTGACTTTAGAGTAAAAGGATTATAGCGATTGTTCTGTTGCAGCAACTTTCAGAGTCCAGTTAGAAGTGGAAAAATAATAATGGGAAAAAATCTGATTCATTTTAAAAAAATTTTAATTTGTTTTTAATTGTTGCTGTGCAGAAGCAAATGTACTGAAAATGAATTGTACTTTGTTAATTACAATTTACCTTATTATTCCATCCTTAACTCATTCTGCGATTGAACACTAAATATCAAAATTTTAAATATTATCTTCACGGCCGGGTGCAATGGCTCATGCCTGTAATCCCAGCACTTTGGGAGACCGCGATGCCTGGCCAACAATGTGAAACGCTGTCTCTACTAAAAATGCAAAAATTAGCCATGTGTGGTGATGGGCACCTGTAATCTCAGCTACTCGGGAGGCTGAGGCAGGAGAATTGCTTGAACCCAGGAGACGGAGATTGCAGTGAGCCGAGATCATCCCACTCACTCCAACCTGGGAGACTGCATCCCAAAAATAAAAATACAAATAAATGTTACCTTCAGCAATATTTTTCCTTTAGATGACCTCACGTTTTCCCATGTGGATAAAAATCTGGTTACATCTCCATTTATTTGCACATATTTAAATTGTTTTGTCAATATTGAAAAATTATTTTGGCCAGGTGCAGTGGCTCATGCCTATAATCCCAGCACTTTGAGAGGCCAAGGTGGGTGGATCATGAGGTCAGGAGTTCAAGACCAGCCTGGCCAACATGGTGAAATCCCATCTCTACTAAAAATTTAAAAATTAGCTGGGCGTGGTGGTTGTAAGCCTGTATTCCCAGCTACTCAGGAGGCTGAGGCAGGAGAGTTGTTTGAACCTGGGAGGCAGAGGTTACAGTGAGCCAAGATGGCACCATTGCACTCCAGCCTGGATGGCAGAGCTAGACTCCAACTCAAAAAGAAAAAAAAGAAAAATTATTTTTAAATTTTGTCACAGAATGATATTCTAGAATTCTTAAAAGGAGTCTATTGCCCAGTGGTTAAGAGTAGTTACGGTATTCTTGACTTCACTTATGTCTCAGTAGCCTAAGATTTGACCTCTACTTGTGAGAATTATATTACATGGTCTATGTAAAGCTTGAAGCATATTTTCTGGGCAAAATTTAAGGAATTTTCTAGGTTTCAAAATCCAGATTTAATATTGCTGTTTGGAAATAATCAGCTTGTGTTATTATTAATAACATATGCAATAAAAATTCTAATCTAAGTTCAGGGATTTAGAAAAAGACCATATGCTACCAAAATAATTTCATATGTTTGAAATTGCATTTTTCATATGAAAATGGCACAAGTTCCTTTTACATTAAATGCATTGAAAATCCTCAGCTTCACACATTTGAATATTTCTATTTTATTGACAATTTATTTACTAATGGGAACTATTTTTATATTGATTTAAACATATACATAAATTTATATTTATATTTTTTCTCCTTTTCATCACCAGAAAGAATGCTTTAAGCCCTATTTAATGGAACCATCCATTTTTAAGTCTTTAAGTCATATATACTTTTTCTTTACTATTCCTCCATTATTTCTGTTTTATATAATTATTAAATAAACGTTAATTGTTTTGCTACCTGAAGAATGCAAACCACAACTGCTTCTGAAGATCCTTACTATCATATCTAGCTTTTAACCTACCAGTTATGCACGTAGCATCAAAAACACCATTTGCTCCGAGATTCACAAGCCTACTGAAATCACCATAGTTCTTTAGTAAGCATCAGAAGCCTGGAGTATGGATGCATATTTTCTCCTGTCTTGATATAAAACCCCTTAGAAAGCAGTGACGTTTACTAGATCAGGGATTAAACACTATAATCTACTTGCAGTGGGAGTCATTAAAATGTTGACCCAACTTTTCACAGAGTTGCAACAAGAACTGTGAAGTGTGTCTTTGCTATTTAAAGTGGGAATGCACACCTGTGATGTAGCAATGTTCACTGGAGAAAAGCACAACTGGAACCGGCCTGGGAGAAGAAAACATCTAAGCAGTCATTTACAGAGCATATGGGGAACAAAAAATTACTCCTTTAGTTATGGAAATATTCCCATATTTATGCCCCAGTGTTCAAAATCCCATAATTGGAAAATTATTCTTTTAGGCTAAGGCAATTTGTCTCCAACAAATACTTGCTTACTGGAAGTTGCATATTAAAGGAAGAATCATGCATTAAAGTTTCTGACAATACATTAAAAAATTAGCACAAACTAATACTGATAGCTATTTCGAGGGATAGGTAAATCCTAGAAAGGGGGATATTGGAAAGTCCAACATAACCAGGGGAAGTGAAGAGAGGTACTATGGAGTACCTTAGAGGAATAGTGTAAAAATTAAATTATAGAAATAAATTTTAAACATTCAGTTCAATGCTTACTACAAGGAAAGTACTTAATAAAATATAGTAGAAATAATAGCAGGGATGTTTATAATAATTGTCATTACTTTTGAAGTGTTCATAATAGATCATCCAGAAGACGGTAGATGTGGATTCACAACCTAAAACCATAAGCCAAGGGTCTTGCCATATTTGCCTGCAGGTCAATCGTTTATCTGTGGCTTACTGTCTAAGCACAACTTTTTTCCCAAATACCTCAAAGACTGAACTCTGCACAACAGTCCTACATTCCCCATCAATATATCCTACATTCCCCACAGGTCTGGCAATAGAGCCCAAGAAAATCTTCCTTAGCTGACCACATTTCTAGCACTCTTTGAAATAAGAAAACAAGTTTAGTTTTTAAGATGTTTATCCTTCTACGAAGAAAAAGGAAACAACTTTTGAAAAAATTAACAAAACTGGCATAAAGATTTAATAGTTTTCTAGTTGTCCCTTGATATCCACAGAAGATTAGTTCCAGGACCCCTACTGATACCAAAATCCATGGATGCTCAAATCCCTGGGTTAAAATGGCATGATATTTGTGTACAATCTAAACACATCCTCCCATATACTTTAAATCATCTTAGATCACTTATGATGCCTAATACAATATAAATGCTATGTAACTAGTTGCTATATGGTATTGCTTTCTAAATTTGTATTATTTTATTGTTTTTTATTAATATTTTGGATCCACTATTGAATCCAAGAACATGAAACCCACAGAAAGAGAGGGCTAGCTGTAAAT